CCACACCAGGCCGAACGCCTCCTCCACCCACAAGGTGCCCGGATGAGACCCTCCCCAGCTGAGGCCTTCCTCCAAGGCAGCAGGAGGAGGAGGAGGAGGGCCTTCTCGGTGGTGGCCCCGAAATTATGGAAGGTTCGCTCCGCCGAGGCCTGCCTAGCATCACCTTTGGCATCTTCCTGAGCCCAGATTAAAACTGCTGTCTCGGCTGAGGCATTTCCCAACTCCGATTTGAACATGGGCTGCCAGCTGGTTTTTCAGAAGTGGGGACTGGTCTTAGTTAAGCTGTTGCAATTGGCTTTCAAATTTGTAGCTTACATTTATGATATTTTCCTGTTATTTGGGTTTATATGGCATGTTACTGTACTCATTAACTGCTGTACGCTACCCAGAGAACTTTGGGTATGGGATGGTCTAGAAATAAAATTAAAAAATAATTACATAAATGCACATAAATGCATAGGAACACCTATGAACACTGGTGTTGAGCAGTGTTACCACTAGCAGTAATCAGCCTTCCTTAATCCAGCATCCTCTGGAGTACAAACCCCATCATCCCCCAGCCAGCCAGCCTGGCCAGCCTGCAGAGATTCCGGGAGGCCAAACAGAAGGGGAGGCTTTCAAAAGAAAACTGCAAGTGGTCGGCTGATATGGAGCCACGTCCGCTGCGTCCCTTTCAGGTGCTCCTTGGCATTTGACGAGAAGACAGTGGTAGTGGCAGCTTGGCCGAGTGACGGGGAGGAAGAGGTCAAAGCAGGTCTGGACTGAGATGCCCATCATCCCCAGGCAGTATGGTGGCTGGGATTGTGAGAGGTGCTGCCGAGAGCCTCCGGAAGGTGGCTGGTTGGCGAAGGCGGCCACGCGAGAGCGTAAGAGGCTTCCTAGGCCAGACTAAAGCTCCACAGGATGGAGGCCCCACAAATACTGTGATTGTGCAACACGGGAAACGACGGGCTTCTTCCTATTTTCTTTCTTTGCACAATGCTCAATTTCACAGCTCAACCACATCCCTCCAGATGTGCTGGCTGGTGGACACTGTGCGACACATCTGGCGAGCACCAGGTAGGCGAAGGCTGCTATATGTACGAGCCGAAAGATGCGCTGGAAGCCAAGCAGCCTCCCACTCTTTCCCCAACCATTTATCCAGCTCCTCGTCTCCCTGGCCAACTGCAGCCCAGAATCTCGCTGCTTCCAAAGCTCTCACCCACACTCTTCCTGTCCATACGACGCTCCATTTCTTCTTCACTCCCACTTCCTCAAAAATCCCTCTTCTCGCCAGACCTCCCTCCTTTCCCGTTGTTGGCTTGCCCACTGGCCGTACCGCTCCTCGGCCGCCTGCTCCTCAGCATCCTTATTTCCTGGACTCTCTTTCTACTGAATCCCCCTGCCCACCTCTGCCTTCCAGGGGACCAGCTGCCCACCTAGCCCCCCGTGACCCAAGCCCCACATGCCCTCCTCCTCCGAGCAGATCTGACCTTTCCCTTCGCTCACGCAGTTGTACTGCCTACGAACATTCTACAACCCCGTTTCCCCCTCAGCAGTTAAGAGTATCCTTCAGCCCATGATTCATAAAGAGCACAACGAATGACTAGCTGGGGAGCAGGAACACAAACAGCACTGACATGCAACGGCCTGGAAAAAGCCTAGAAAATCTTTCCAAGAGCACAAAAGAAGGCAGTGCCCAGATGTCCCAAGCAGAGCACCAGATCCTCAGAGCACCTCTGGGGCAGCACATTCCGTTCGCATCAGACAGCATCCAACCACACCGGGACTGTCCTGCACCGTGGCCGGAGATGCAAACGTGCAGCCAAGCACCATTCCCCCACTCCCCTCTCGCCTTTCCGACTTCCTCCACCAGGCCCTACGTAGAACATACACCTGGTGCTCCTATGCGGCAACAGAACAGCCGTGGAACTGCACGGTCTCCAAAGCAGGGCCGGACGGGTTATTTATCCGGCTATTTGGGGTTCCTGACTCCTGACCCTCCTGGCAAGGGCTCTGGGGAGCGGAAGTTCAAAACTTCTGAAAATCTACCTTTCACCACCCCTTGCTCTATGGGCACAATCCTGTGCAGGTTTGGGGAGACAAGGAGTCCTTTGCTTCCAGCATTCGCCATCCAGGGGCCGTAGGACTTGTCTGACATTGCACCCAAAAGCCTGTTCTTGCCTGATGATTCTCCTTGTCCAAAATCCATCCGAACAGCCCCTGCCAAATTTTCTTCAGCCAGGAAGAAAATAGCAAAACCTCCTTGAGCCCTCCTTGAGCAAAACCACCTCTCGAGTCGACAGGCTCCGAGAATAGAACGCGATGCCCACTTAACACCACAAAGGGCCGAAACCCTAAAAGAGGATGTTGAGGATTTAGAGAATGGCGCGGGGGCGGCAGAATTTTCTTCCTGCTGGGGCAAGCTGATGACTCAGTTCTGTGGTCGATGGCGCTGCGCTGCTTCAAAAGGAAAACCAAAACCAAGGTGACATCAGCTTATCTGGGATCTGCGTTTTTTCCATAGACTGAGGCGGGAAAACTTGGCTACATCCCCGAAAGTGGATCTTTTGCAGAAGCAACCTGCAAAATGAACAGAACCTCTCGCTCGGCTGCAGAAGGGGCCGTCCAAAGGGCCTTAAGAGACCCCGTCGCTTGCGCCTATGTGATGCCAGCAGGAAAGCTCTGAAAACATTTTGACTGAATTCTGCCCATGCCCAGAGATGTCCTTGCCACAAGTGATCCCAGTGCTACTTAAAGTGCTCGGCAGGTGCTGGCTACCCAGAGGGGCACTCCCCAGACGCTCCTGCCAGGTGGGGACACACCTGCTCTCCTCCTACACCATTCGGCTGCGACTGATGGAGCAGCAGGCCCGTTTCGAGGTGGCGCTGTAGGAGACGTTAAGCTGCTGGGATGCAGAGCCTTTCTGGGACCTGGAGGCCACATTGGCTCTGGGCAAGCATGGCTGCGGTCATGCGTCAGCACCCACGAGGGCCACATCCGGAAGTGCAGGGGGCCACTCAACCGCCCCCATGGACTGCCTTGACACTTTACCCACAATCCTGCTCTCTCGTTCTCTTTCTCCCACTTACTCACAGACACACAGAGGGGAGGGCCCAGAAATGTAATAAAATGAAATGTATTTTATTTTATTTATTTAGTAAACTTCTATGCTGCCCCATTCTCCGAAGCCTTTAGAGATTCCTGTTTCTAAGAGGCCCTGCCTGGCCGTAGCCTCTTCCCAAAGTTTTTCAATCTCTGGCACAATCAACATTATGCTGCGTATTTTTAAAAGCTACCTATAGTTATCAGGTGTGTCACACATTGTCTTATGTTCTAACAATTTTATGAATTCTAGGCCTGGGAATACTTTCTGTTGAAGGGCAGCATAAAAGAAACACTTTACAAGAGAGAGGAGGAAGACAACACAATAGGAACGAAGGAGCTGGAGGAAACCCACCAGACTTCATCCAGCGGAAGGTTGGTTTGGAAAGCACGTTTTGAAGATGCCATGGATCTAGACCACACCCCCACTGCAGGTTGGCCTGGGGCACTACTCCCACTTTGCAGATGGAAACTGGCCCACTGCTTCTTAGACCCCAGTCCCACACAGCCTCATCCAGAGGATGGGAAACGAGACACTTCTGAAGTTCGCCGGATGTTAGTTATGGTGGAGCAGTGATTCCCCCCGTTTCCTCCGGTCCCCAGTGAAAGCCCGCAGAGTCAGAGGACACGCAAGGTTTGGGTGGAACGTCACAGCAGATGGGAATCCCTGCTCTCCACCGCGACGGCACTCATGCAAGGACTCGGTGGGAGAGTCTCGGCACGCAGGTGGAACTGCCCGGGGTCAGCCCAGGGTGCCGGGTCCCCTCTGCCACAGAAGCCTTGCAAGCGTCAGCCCCCCAAACGCTTTCAGGAGGAGAACAAATCTTGGGAGCTCCCCCTTCCACAGAAGGAGCTTCAGTCAGCGCTCACCTTTCTCATCCTTGCAAATGAGAAGCCCTATAGATGTCTGGATTATGGAAAGTGCTCCCACAGAAGAGCAAAACTCACAAATCGTTTAAGACAGTGGAACCAGCTGCCTGGAGAGGCGGTGGGCTCTCCCACACTAGAGACATCCAAAAAGAAACTGGACAGCCACCTGAGCGGGATGGTGTGACGTGGGGCTGGACCCGAGGGCCTTCACAGCCCCTTCCACCTCTACGATTCTAAGAGTTCTTTGGGCCTTCAAATCCACCCAGGGGGCCTGTTTGTAGGCCCACCTCCACAATCATCAGATTCGGAGGCAAAAGGGACAGAGACTTCTCAGTGGCGGCCCCAATCTGCAGAAGTTCACTGCAAGGGAGGTGCAGCTGGCCCCAGCCATTCTGGCCTTTACACGCGTCTTTGAGGCCCACTTGTTCCAAACTGTTTTTAGTCAAGACATTGCTCTGTTGAGGCTTGAGGTTTGTTGAGACATTATTCCCAGGTTGCCTTCCATAATGCCAATATTAGTGCAAGCTTTAATTTGTTTAACAGGTTTATGGGCAGCTGGTGTACCCTGAGATGTTCTTCACTGCTGCTTAAGATTATAGTCTATTGCTTTATGTTTATGTTTCCGTAAGTCAACTTCGGAAGGCTTTTTTGTCCTAAAAGGCAGCCTAGAAATACATGCAATAAATTTTAAATAAATTCTCCCCACAACTTTCTGGTGCTTGCAGAGGCTGTTCACGCTCCTGTACCAGCCACTGTGTTTTTTAGGCTGTCGTACACGCAGCTGGGGGTGCTCCCACATGGAAACGCGAATGCTAGCAGTGGGGCGCCTGGCGCGTGGGACGGGTGGGGGCCTCCTGGGGCAGCCCCTCCGGGGCCAGAGCGGCCCCCCAACCTGTTGGAGTGCTGCCATGACGCTTCCACAAGCCGCCAAAGGGCTCCCGGGGGCTCCCAGCACCAGGCGAGCACCGCCCTGCTCGCCCGGTGGGACTCGGCCCGGTCCCGGCCGGGCTCCGCTGAGGCCGCTCCCGCCCGGGCCACGCACTCACCGTCTCCCTCCACCTTCTCGGGCGCGCGGCTCCACACGACCTGCCGGCTCTTCAGGCGCACCTGGAAGGTCCTGCGCTCCGGGCGCTGCGACTTCTTTTGGTAGAACAGCGTGAGGACGGTGCCCACCTCCAGGCACCTGAGGACCCGCGCGATGTCCGCCGCGCCGGCCTCCGCCCCGGAGGGCTCCTCCGGGAAGCCGTTGGCGAAGCCGCTCAGCCGGGACAGCGACATCTTCCCCGCGCCGCTCAGCGCATGGCCAGCCGCGGCCAGCGGCCTAGGCGAGAGCGGCAGCCTCGGCAGGTGCGGCTCCGGGGATCCCGGCCTGGCTGCGGGCGCCGGTCCGCTTGCCCGGCACCGCAGCAGCTGCTCGGCTCCTGGCGGGGCGG